TTCCGCGGATCCGCGGAAGAATCTCATCCCTGAGAATAGTTTTATTTGAGATATACAGAGTTATTCATCTAGATCTGCAGAGGTGATAGGTTTTTTGTATGGAAGGGTGTCAGGCTGTATAGACAATCCGTCGCACAGCCTGGTCGGGCTAAGACCCTCTCAGCCTTACTAATAGTAATAGTCAATTTTCAAAATTCAAGTTGAACTTGTACTTGTAAGTTGTAGTTGTCTCGTTGTACTACCGTAGCACACAGTGCAACCCTTACCTTATACGTATGTTAATCATTATAACAGTAATTCAACTCTAGTTGGATGAACTCTTTCAGACTCCAGTGAAAGAATCGCTTTCTTACAAGTATATCAGGGATCAGTACAGAAAGCATCAGGTGACGAGTGAGAAGCTATGCCGTGCCCAAGACGAACTCAACCATCTTGCGAGCACTTACCTTTGTTTGCTGCGTAGTGTTCGAATCAATAAGGTGTGAAATGCTAGCAATCACCTTCAGTACCCATGTAAATCGGTGGGAAAGGGGTAATGTCCAATTGCCATTTCTGGAATTCCATTAAAGAGTAAATTTTGGTGTTAGTATTAAAAGGACATGGTATTAACGCTAATGCTTTCCTTTCCCCCGGTATTATCATGCTCCATATTAATCAGTGTGTGTGCGCGCGCGCATGAGTGCACGCACGCACTTGTTACAGTACAGTAAAACTCGCATAAGTCGGCACTTTTGGGACCACCATTTTTGTGCCGATTTACGAAAATGACGATATGCGCGTAAGTCGTCATTTTGTCAACTTATGTCTAAGTCGCCAAAGTGACGACTTATGCAAGTATATCATCATTTTGACGACTTACAAAGCCGGCATTTCGACGACTTGGAGAGTGTCTGCATGTGTTTCCCGCAAAACAATTAGTCATCATTTTACCAGGAATTTGCTGTACATTGGGCTGCATACACTCTGCCATCAGCATTTCTGATGACGACATACAGATAGAATTTTACTGTTGTTTGTATTACATGGGACCTGTCTGAGGGCGATGACTTGTACATAATGACGACTTTGGAGGGGCTATCCAAATGGATTTATCATTAGAGAAAATCGGGACTTGGACTTCCATGACGAATTTTAAAGTGAATTGATGAGCTAGAGGATGGTATTATTGATAGACTCCTGGTCTTATGCGAGTTTTACAGTATTGTATTGTAAAACTAGAGTGCAAGAGTAGGCGAGGTACGGTCCGGCATATTAGATAGTACCAGCAGAGCATATAAATCACGTTGATTTATATGCTCTGGTACCAGGGTACGTTCCGGTAGTACCCTGGGGGACATAGACCCTCTCAGCAATACTATTACTAAAGAGATAGAGCCATTTTGGCACCTGTTGCAATTCAATGCCTTAGCATAGTGAATAGTCGCTTCAATGCTCCTTCTGAAATCTTTCTGTCTAGTAGGTAGTGCAGCTATGCCTTGATCTCCAGGCTGGTCTCCTGAAAATACAAGTAATGCATTGCCTAGCAAAACGCAATGAAATTGAAACATAAAGGCACAGCATAACTTGTGTGCACTACAAGATCGTAGCCTGCTCTTTCAATGCAGGGTGGGGTGCTTGCCACTGAATAAACGAACTAGACACTTGGGAGGTGAAGATAAATGCTTAATTTGTGGGAAAGGAGAGTTGGAAACCCTGGAGCACTTTTTACTAGAATGTCCCGGATATGAAAACCATAGAAAACGTTTTTTTAATATGATTAAACGTAGAACAGGTTTGGAGGCAACAGAAACCTCACATGACATCAAGAGACATCATGACACCTTCTTAATACGCCCTTGATGACATGCAGGAGGAGCTCTTGAAAACTCTCCTGGGGTTTAGGGTTGGCAGCAGCGTTATTACCTCCGCGCAACGGAGTTGCAGGGGAGGTAATGTAATCGGTCGTGTGTGTGTGTGTGTGTGTGTGTGTGTGTGTGTGTCCAGCCCGCGCGGCGCGATCGATAGCGCGTCGAGTCAGCGAGCGGCGAGTCAGCAGCAGGCGAGTGAGTCAGCATTAGCAAATAATGCCATCGTCTAGCTCATCAATTCACTTTAAAAGTCGTCATGGAAGTCAAAGTCCCGATTTTCTATATGATAAATTCGATAATAAATCCATTGGATAGCCCTGCGAAGTCGTCATTATGTACAAGTCGTCGCCCTCAGACAGGTCCCATGTAATACAAACAACAAAATTCTATCTATGTCGTCATCAAGAAATGCTGATGGCACAGTGTATGCAGCCCAATGTACAGCAAATTCCTGGTAAAATGATGATTGATGACTCATTGTTTCGTGCAAAACACATGCAGACACTCTCCAAGTCGTCGAAATGCTGGCTTTGTAAGTCGTCAATGATGATATACTTGCATACGGCCTAAAAAAATAAATGATGTGTTTCCGAGAACGGTCTTGAAAAAACTAGGTAGGGTAGGTAGGGATTTTTTTTTTTTTTTTAAATAAGCCGATCAATGTGTGCAATTTTCGGACGATATTACTACCAGCGTTTCACTACCAGTAGTATATACTGACAACGTTGTTCCTATGACATTGTATACAGAATGTCAGTGGTCCTGCCGCTTGCATAAATCGAGTTTCACCTGTACTGCAGTGAACAGGGACATCAACATACCGCGATAAGAGATCGACGGTGTTCGAGCTGCGTAGACAACTGGGTTGTGATTGTTGGGTCAAAATACGTCGATATACATTGCATCTAACTGAAAATGTTTGCTTGTTTTTGTGTTTGTTTTTTATTGACATAATATCACATATTGACATATCAGATTTTTTTATTTTTTGGATAAATTTTAATTTTTTTTTTAAATGAAAAAAAAAATAGGGTCGGCCCCTATTTGCTAGGTAGGGTCGGGTTCTCGGAAACACATCTTTTTTTTTAGGCCTAAGTCGTCACTTGTGGCGACTTAGACATAAGTTGACAAAATGAAGACTTACGCGTATGTCGTCATTTTCGTAAGTCGGCACAAATGCTGGCCCAAAAGTGCCGACTTATGCCAGTTTTACTGTATTGTAACACGTGCGTGCGTGCACTCATGCACGCGTGCACACACACTGATTAATATGGAGCATGATAATACCGGGGGGGGGGAAAGAAAAGCATTAGCGTTAATACCATGTCCTTTTAATACTAACACCAAAATTTACTCTTTAATGGAATTCCAGAAATGGCATTGGACATTACCCCTCTCCCACCGATTTACATGGTACTGAAGGTGATTGCTAGCATTTCACACTTTATTGATAAACGACACTACGCAGCAAACAAAGGTAAGTGCTCGCAAGATGGTTGAGTTCGTCTTGGGCACGCATAGCTTCTCACTCGTCACCTGATGCTTTCTGTACTGATCCTGATATACTTGTAAGAAAGTGATTCTTTCACTGGAGTCTGAAAGAGTTCATCCAACTAGAGTTGAATTACTGTTATAATGATTAACATACGTATAAGGTAAGGGTTGCACTGTGTGCTACGGTAGTACAACGACACAACTACAACTTACAAGTACAAGTTCAACTTGTTTGATGAGGAGTGTAATTATGCAGAGACATATTAATAGCAAATAAGAGTGAGAGTGAAACTAACTGTAAACTCGATTTATTACCAAACCCGGAGACATGTTCTATTGTTTCCATTATCGGATCCTCTAACTTAGCCAGAGTCAACGCTACGCATGAGCGCTATATATTGTTACATCCTTTCTCCTTTATAAACGAAAAACTTCAAACTAATTACCGTTGACCATTACTCAACAAACAAACATTACAGAGTCTCGACAAGAAAATCTCGCTTCCGATTTCTATAGAAGTAAAGTATACCCTTCATCTTGAGTACATTAAATTAAATCAGTCTTGCACTGCTTCAAACTGTTTGACTCATCTAAACACAATTTCTAGTAAACTGAACTCGAATTAACTTGTCATGTTGCTACTTTGAATAATGATTGTTCATCCTAGCACTGTACTTCTCACAGATTAAGTTTGACCGGTTTGTAA